AGGAGGAGGACAGTCCTTTCATCCATGGCTGAAGTGTGGGCTAAGTGAGGTATCACATGGAGGATAGCAGAATACACTCACAACTGTGCGTGTACCATCACTTCCTTTATTATCTTTTGGGGCTGAGGTTGTAAATTATTAGAACTGAAAGAAATCTCAGGAGTCAGGGGAGTTTTCTCCCATGCTCAGCAGAGGAGATGTGGTCAAACCATCCGCTGGGGTCACAATCCAGAGAAACCAAAGGTTCTCTGGCCACATGTCATCCTAGGAGCCTGAGGTGCTAAGTGCCTTCTCCCATGTCTTCCTGCCCCAACACCTTCCACCCCTGCCCACCTGTCCTCCCCTATCCCCACCCCTGAATCATCCTACCCACCCCCCAACCCCCACCCCCTCCATCCCAGCCTCTGCCTCAAGGATGTGTTTTCTCCTCAGCCTGAGCATCTCCTGGTCCAGGAATGAGTATGTGCAGGGGTGGGGGAGAAGAGTCCCAGGAATTTGGGAGAGCCCCCCTCCCCGGCACTTGTGGGGAGACCTTATTTCCAAAGGTAAAGACAGAAGAGCAAGCAGTTTTTGGAGCATTCCAGAGCCAAGCACCTTGTCAAGCAGGTACCACAGGCCAACTGTTTGAGCATGTACCATGCCTTCTGGGAAAGCTGCTCCTGCAGGCCACCCTGATGTGGATGGATCTGAACCCTTCTGGTGAGGACACCCCACACCCCCACATAGATTTTTCTCAGGAGCCTCGGTGCTCCTTATGAAACTCCTGCTGATTTGCCCAGATGTCCCAGAATCCCTCAGGTGAGTGGGAGCAGACTCCCACCTCCCAGGCTTGACTGTTCCAGCTTTTGCACACACACACACACACACACACACACCCTTACCTGGTGATGTCATGGAATTGGGGCTCCCCCAAGCCCAGAGTCTGTCTGCAAGGCTCCTCGCCTTCTATGTGACACCTCAGCTCTCTGCTGCTCTCACACTGAGGTCAGGGATGTGGCAGAGCTGGGCCCAACCACACTTCCAACCTCTTTTCTCTCCCGTGTGCTCTCTGGTCTCTGTCCTCTTCTTCCTCCTCTTTCCTCCCCTCCTCACACTCTCCCCCTTCCTCCTTGTCTCCCTGCCTGCCAGGTACAGATCAAAAATATTTTTGCCCAGCAGAGCTAAGAATAAAATAGCTCCCCATTATCTTGCAGTAGCCAAGCAAGAACCTGCTCTACACAGATGAGCAAAACAGGAAGGTTCTAGAAAAGGGCACTGCCAGAGCCCCAGGGACTGGAGCACGGAGGACTCTGGGCTCCACTTCCTGGTCCCCTGCTGCCTCCTCCTCAGCCTGGAGGGCCCTGGTCCCAAAGGCCTTTCTGCAGGCTCATGGGGATGGTAGTACCTCTAGGGAGTTGAAACAAAGACAGAGCACATCTAACTTTTAGCAGTTTTCAGTAATCTAATTTTCAGTTCTTTGGGTTATCAAAAACATGCCTTTTCCCCTCTTTCTTCTCACCAAAAAGGCACAGCAGATCTGGGGCGCGCCGAGGGTGCGGCAGCCGCGGTCCACACTCAAACACTAATTTCTGTGCTGTGGAGGAGATGTCACGCATGCAGGTCTGTTTGATTTCATTAAACAGAATATTTAAGCATAAAAATTGTTTAATCGCCTCGTGTCATTAAGAGATGAATTTCATTTTGCATACATTTGCATATTTCCTCCGAATTAAGGTTGCTAATATGCAAATGAGGGACAGGTTGCAATAGGTGTTTGCTGAGGCGGCTGTAGGCTGTTCCTCTGGGGCCCTCTTTCTAGGTGGGAGGAGCCAGGCGAGGCTCAAGCCCTTAGGGAAGCGGACTCCCAGGGCCTTGGCCTGTGCCATCAAAGACGGGTGGGCGTGGCCCTTACTGTCGCCCGGCCGGCCAATCAAAGCGGGTGGTGCTGTGAGGGGATGCTGCCCAGCTGTCTGCCCCAGGCTCCTGGGAGCCAGCAGGTACCAGCTCCGGGATGAGGGTCCTGGGCAAGGCTTGGGGCCTTCCAGCGTGCCTAGCTCAACAGTCGGATGAACAGAAAACATTCTGGAAGCTTCCCTAGCCCACTGCCGGTCCCGATGTCTTGTCTTCGGTGCCTTTTCTCAGTCTTTGTTCCCTGGCTGGCTTTGTTTCAATCCAGATTCCTCCCTTCTCCCCTCCCTTTGTTCGCTCAGCCCCTTTCCTCTCCCCTCCGCCCTAGCCCGGCTGTCACCCACCCGTCCATTGTCTTTCTCTCTGGCTCCCTGGCACCCTGGAGTCATTTCCCCAGCCCAGTTAGTTGCCCTCGGAGGTGGAGACCATCAGGCCAGGACCCATGCCCCTCTCCAGCCTTCCCAAAGCCCTTATTAATTAATGGCTGTGTGCACAGGGGTCAGAGATTACATACACAAAACCAAGCTTCCTGTGCAGGTCCTGAGAGCCATTCTCCAGTTCCTTTGGGCAGCACAGAGGAGGTAGCAGATAAATGCAAAGGGGGCCAGAATTGAAAGGACCAGCAGCCCAAAGAGAGCCGCCCTCCTTGGCTTGAAGCAACCGGCGTCACTTTCCCCGGCAAACCTCAGTCCCCTCTCCATCTAGTCTTGGCAGCGGCAGCCACCAGGAGTCTGGGTAGAGCCATTAAGTCAGCCACTATTTAGTGAGCATCTACTTCAGACCAGCCCGAGGCGATCTGTGGCCACAGCCTTAGAGAGGTGGCCTCTGCTCAAGCTGCTGAGCTGGGTGGAAGATAGAAGATTCCAGAAAGAAGCAAGATCCCTAAGACAGTGCTGAGTGACAGAAAAGGGTGTCCAGCCATGACAATCCCTTACCTGTCTAAACCCTCCTTGGGCCCCCGCCACAGGCCATGTCTTAGGCACCACCCTAATGACCAGGACCTTTCCCTCCAGAGCCCCCAGGGCCTTGCAGAGTGGACTTGTTTTTCCTACTCTCCCAGCATCTCCCCAGGGCTACAGGGCAGCATCTGCCGGGCTAACCACCCCAACCCCCCACCCCCTGCCAGATTAGCTGTTGGTGCCTGCGTCTCAGAGTGAAGCAATTAAATCAGAATTAATTGGCTAGCAGGCAATCGCCTTCCATCGGAGCAGGGAGGGAGTGGGTGGCCGTTTTGCTGAGTCGACAATTGGAACACAATGCTGGGGGGAGGGGGGGGCCAGAGCCTGGGCCTGGGGAAACAGAGGGGTCCCCCTCCTCCACCTGCAGCCAAGCTCCACAACCAAGCCAGCCAGGATCCCAGTGGCTCTGAGGAAGAAACGGCTTTTGGGGGATAAAACTTTGACTTCTTAACTTCAAGATGTGCCACCGGGGGGGGGGGGGGGTTTCAAAATGTGGCTTAATTTCTTACTATCTTTATCATTTTCCCACTCACAAAAGCAATTGATTCCTCTCTCTCTCTCTCTCTCTCTCTCTCTCTCTCTCTCTCTCAACATTGCAGACATGGATAACTTGGAAGGCCCAGTAAGGTTGTGCAACTGCATGTGGACATCAGCATCGACGTTTCGGGGAGCAGGAGTGTCTTTGAACAGGATCTTGCTATGTAGCCCCAGGCTGGCCTCGAACTCACATCAATCCTCCTGCCTCGGCTTCCTGAGCATTGGGATTACAGAGATGTGCCGCAACACCTGAACTAGCGGATGAGATTAGAAGTCTCCCCACCTGTTCCTGGGAGCTGGCCCCGTGCCTGTCGAGGGGATCCATAGGCTGGTCGTTGTAGCATGATAAGCAGGATGCTGAACAGGGGCCAGAATGCATCAGGCTGGTTCTTGTTGAATGGCATTGTCTTACTTGGGTATTGTAAAAATCAAGTAAGAAAAGAAATGTAGGAACATGACACAGCCCAGGAGCCTCCACCCTGGCTTTTCCACCCCAAGGACAGCCTTGGACATGGTGAATTAATGGGGAGAGCGCGGTGCTTTGGGAGAGAGCTGGGCTGTGCAACTTTTCATAGATCATTGGCCGTCTCTGGGCCTCACTCTCTTCACCTGCCGAATGGAGGCTAGATAGAAATCCTCCCTTAAGCTCCTGTCCTGGACCTCCCTCAGTGTGGGGTAGCTTGATGGCTGGTACTGGGATTTAAGGAACTGACTGGCATCAACCCTCTAGGATGCGAGGCCACTGACAACTCTTCCTACTCCCTCACACAGGGGAGATCCCAAAGACAAGATCCTCCTGTCTCCAAAAGAATAGCCAGGAGGCTGCCACTGGCACAACAGCACAAAAGGCAGCAGGAGACAGGGGGAGGGGGCTGGGGAGGGGGAGGGGGAGGGGGAAAGAGACACCAGGG